AGTTCACAAGAGGCGGCGATGTAGTCCGAGTCCGAAAGGTTTGTAAAGGTGTGGTTGTCACACACGTCCACTCAGTGTGAGAAATCAGACATAGTCGTCCGAACTTGTATATGTTTTCACACTTACCGTTTGATGATGTGTCTCTGGGAATGAATGTTCAGTCTTTCATGCTAAACACATGTATCTGCGGAATATTTGAAGTACTCTGTACTCCGTCGGATTTCCGTTCTCTCATTGTTGTCCCAATATTGTGTCTACCTCACACTACCTACCTACCTACCTACTCTACAAAGGAGAGAGCGGTAAGTCTCCATACTAGAGATCCGTTCTCTCCTTTCTCTCCTCTCTTTTCCTCGCGAACTTATGCGGTCCTGTCTTGCTTGAGATGTGTGATAGCGCTCCTCGACCAGGCTGTTGCCGTAGTCTGCCTCTGCCGCTGATATTCATTCATAAATATTAAACTCGCTATTAAATTTGCTATTCGGCAGAGAGATCAACCTGTACAGATGAATGGACTTTTCGTTAATCATGACCCTTAGCCACATCTCTACAAAGTGCGTATTGCAGATATGAGCTGACCTCTCTTCCACAGAATCGACACAGTGCCCGTGTACTCCATCTGTATCATGTTGAGATAAGGTCGCGACGAGCCAATAAAGGAAAAGAGGGGTGAAAAAGAAAACAACGTTTAAAAAACTTTAAAAAAGAGATAAGCGTGAGAAGCTGCTACCAGAGTGGCCCGGGGCAACTTGCCCGGCCAGTACAATAAAAATAAAAATAAAAATAAAAATAAAAATAAAAATAAAAATAAAAATAAATAAAATATATATTTTTTTTAAATTTAGTAAAGAATGTCGATGTGACCCTGCGGCAAAAGTTGCTCGGTTTATTTTTCTGCATCACATAATAATATTTGTTTTCGGATTTTTTGGATATTTTGTTTTTTCTTTTTTTGCTGGGCCCTTGCACGGCCAGGCCGCCCCGTCAAACAAAGTGACCCCCGGCTGGTAGCCCAGCTGATAAGGTCCCAACAAGCCAATGAGATAAGAAGATAAGCTCTCAAGAGGCCACCGAGATAAGACAAGGTCTCAAAACGACAACTGCAAGACATGAAAAAAGAAACCCATATTTAGCTGTGGGTGCCACTTGGTGGGCAACATAGTGCAACAACAACTTGTAATCCTTTCATTTTATTTTCAGGGAAAGACTGGTCCTCTTGGGCCAAGCTCCTTCCTATTCTGGCAATTTTCGGTCCGCTTGCTTTTCCACCAGCAAGTCATGCAAAGTACAACCCAGTCCAACGGCCCCCCCGTTACGGCCCGGGGAGCCCAACCGCATTGATTGCTTCCTTTGAGAAGGATTGACTGTCATTGTTGGCCACTCATTTCACATCTGCGCCCCGCCCCCCAACCACCACCACCTATTGGGTAAACCCTCCCAAGAAAGATACACAAAATCAAGTCAAAGATTCGCTCTCAGCCCGCCCATCATCGGCCGCCTGATTAAACCCTAAAAACCCTAGGATGCCTCCGGTCTTCGCTTTCTACAAGTGCAAGTTACTCCCCGGTGTGGACTGTCTACTGCTGCCTGCTGCGTGTCCCCTTGGCCTCTGTTACATGTTGCGCCTGCACATGGGCCTCATTTCAGGGGCCCGACGGTTGCTGAGGGGCCCCAGGCCGCGTGGCCATCGGACACGCACCCTGGAGGCCCACGGCGGCCCTTAGGCCGCAGGTACAGTAGTGCGACAGCATTTACTTATTTATTTGTTTATTTATTTATTTGCTGTCCTATTTCTGTCTGTTCAGATGCCGTTTCAAACTTGCAGTCCCCAAGGCACCACCTTGGGCTGGGTACACCAGGAGGCAGGGCCGATAGAGGCCAGGTGCATGTTTGCACCATGCTGCATCAGCAGCATGGTCTGGACACCCGGTAGGGGCCCCGACCGTGCGGACTGTTTCTCAGGCCACACAGAGGCACACCAGCCGGCCCAGCGCAGTATATAGCTGGGCCACAGCCAGGGCAGACAGACAGTTCGAGTAGCTCACTTCTTGAGCGACATGCTGCTGGACTAGCGCTGCGCTACTTAGCACTGCGACCAGAGGCTAGAAGTAGAGGTGTAGGTAGGCGGAGGGGCGGAGGCCATACCTGCACTTACCTGGCGCCATAGCTGGGACTCCAGGCGCGCGCGCCGACCAGCAAATGACAACGACAAGACGGCGGTCAGTTCACGGTGGTGGTTACCTGTAGGTGAGACAGCGAGGAGGACGACATCTTCTTTTTCTTCTTCGTCTCGTCTCCCTCTCGTCTCCCTCCTTCCTCCTTCCTCCTCCTCCTTTCTTCTTCTTCTTCTTCTTCTCCAGAGAGAGAGAGAGAGAGAGAGAGAGAGAGAGAGAGAGAGAGAGAGAGAGAGAGAGAGAGAGAGAGAGAGAGAAGGCTGAGGTTACATCGGGCATAGAGCCCAGGATCTGATTCGACATTTTTGGAGCAGACATTGATTGGACATTCGGCAAAGGACTATTTTTGGACTTCGCTATCGCGATCTTGGTCTTCTCCCTCGCCTCCTTCTTCGTCTCGCCTCTCCCCCCATCTCTCATCCGTGGTATCTTCCCCATGTGCGTGTACAAGGAGGGACCTTTCTGCTGTGTATGTGGTCCCTCCTCTCTCCCTCACATCTGTGGTGTATGATGGGATGTCGCGTCAGTCTCAGTCAGGTCAGCTCATATCTTTGAGTCTTCCGCTGTGCTACATTGTGCTATTTTCATATGTATCGGGATGTACATTGCTTGTTGATGCTTCGCTGACATTGCATTGTCCATTTCAGTCCTTTTCATCACTTTGCCGCTCCTTGGCTCCATACACATTGCCCAACTGGGCATGTGTCAGTCTCTCTGCTGCGATCGGCCACCCTGCCGAGGCCTCCGGCTCCAGTTTGGCGTAAATGAGACTTTTTTTTTTTTGAGTAGTTTAGTTTAACCAACTCTGTCTGAAACCACAGAGTGGCATTTCATCATTTTCAAATGAAAAAACAACAACCAGAAACCCAGCATGGGATTCTGGTTTTCTACAGGTAGGGTGGAGGGCGCAGGGTGGGCAAGAGGTGCGAGCAGGGAAAGAGCGGAAATAAGGCAATACACCTCAATCAATCCAAGCCCGCAATGTGCTTCCCTGTCATAACCATTCATAAGGAATGCCCAAAACGCCGTAAATCAAGTTAAATAAATGCCTAAAATAGTAAAATGTCCGAAATGATATTATATCCTTATAAAGTCTTCTGGTTTAGTTACTTTCATTCTATCCGTCGATTCTCTCTCGAACGGTGTCATGCCAAAGGAGGGGTCCATGGTGAGTGGGTTCAAGTTGTTAAAGGAGGGGGGGGGGGAGGAGCTGACTCAAAAAAATCACTATTACTGTATTACAGTATTACACAAGATTGATTGGGTCACAATCGCCTCGACATCTTCCCACAGACCCAACCAGTACGATCTTGCTGGGACTCATTTGATTGTTTGCTTTCGGCATTCTCAATACGGATATGACACCCTTACCTTATCAAGCAGTCATCCCTTTCCGGTGCGTAGTCTCCTTGACCAAGACTCATCCTCTCAAAGGGACCTCTCTCTCGCTGGCCACCTTGGCTGGGCCTTGGCCAGCTAGCTCCTCACACAGCCACCAGTACCTTCCCCAGGCATTTTGCCGAGACACAGCCAGCGGTTAACACGGAAGCCGCACTCGGCCTCGGGCGGCGGCCAGATGCGCCACCAAAACTCGGCGCGCAGGGCCTGCGGCCAATAGCATGGAAAAGTATTGGCGCTTTGAAAGAAACAATCAAAAAGCTCAACCACTACCCGCTGAACGTGTGACTTCTCGCCCACAAAGCGGATTACTCAACTTCTCCACAAACAAAAAAAAAAAGACGTATCATTCAACGCAGAGATGGAAAACCACACACCGCATCCAACAGCCTCAGCAGATTGTGCTGGTGTACACAAAGGGGCTGCTTGGCAATAAGCTAACGGCTTGCTGGCCGCCTCTGGCAGTCAGAAGAAGGGGCCAGGAGGGGGGGGGGGGGGGGGGGGGGGGGGGGGGGGGGGGGGGGGGGGGGGGGGGGGGGTTCATGGAGGGGGAAACTGCTGGCCCTCAATTGTCCAATGTGACTCCAATCGCGAGTATGACGTCACAATCCTTTCACAAAAAACAAGAAGAATGAAACGCTCTTGTTGTCAAAGCCTGAGGCTTTGCAAGTCCAACGCTCACAGAGCTCATAGTACTTCATACTATATAAGGCCCAGATCCCACTGACAAAGAGGATTGGAATAAGTGTCTGAATCTGGACGTGTTCCACGCAGAGATGCAGAAAAGTAGATCAATCACAATTTTTCGCACCTGTCCACAAACACGGCCACGTTCAGACACTTACTACAATCCACTTTGCCAGTGGGATCTCGCCCTAAAATGCTGTCCATTGTGCTCCCCGCACTACGTTTGGGTCCCCGCAGACTCACGCGGGTCGCAAGCTGGCACTTGCTTACCTGAGCAGCGAGTCGGCGACAAGGGCGGCAAGCTTTGCATGGAAGCACATCGTGCCAACGATGAGGTGCTCTCTTTTCAACCTTAACATAAAAAACAAAAAAAAAACAAAAAAAAAAAAAGAAACATATGGCTACAACGAGAAGAACGAAAGCACCTACCCAACCCATCTGGCACTGAGCAGTACACACAGGTAGGCTGCTGATGAACAGATTATGCGTTCAGACTTCAAAGTTCAAAGTTCAAACCCTGCTGACAATATCACATAATAAATATTAGGAGCTAAGTATCCCTTCCCTTTCGAACAAAAACAAGAACGAAGAAGAAACAAAGAAAGAAAGCGCTTTGTGGCATTCACTTTGTGTATTGCTCCATATTTATTTTTAGGACAATGACCAAACATTGCAATCAGCGCCTACCCACCACCAATCACTGACGAGCGAACCAGTCTATCAAAGCGCCACAAGCAATTAATCGATAGTCAATATTCATTACCGGCAAACTTCATACATACATAATACATTCAATAAAATGGCTGTTACATATATTATATCTTAATAAAGAACAATCAGAAAGAAAAAAAAAAAAAAAGGAACAATCAGACATATAAATTGCAGCTAAGGAAAGAAAGAAACCTGCACTAGGTAATGTGATAGTCGTCTTCTAAAAAAAAAAAAAAAAAAAAAAAGGAAGAACAAGAAGAAGAAGGAGGAGAAGAAGGCGAAGAAGATAATGTGAAAGTTGGTGAAACAGAGAGAATAAATTCAACAAACTGGAAGGATATCCGAATGCCGACCGTCAAAAAAAAAGTTCAAAGTTTAAACGTAGCCTGTGCCTCGACAAGCAACACAGATTCGCCCCCCTGAGCACGAAGGGCAGTATTTCCACTTTTTGCCTAACCCTGCAGTAAACCTGGTTGCGGCAGTGGCAGAATTCTTTCTAGCCCTCTCCGCTTGTTCCTTGGACAATTTTTGCACCAAAAATCCCTCCCCATTGCAATCCGCGCACACTCCTGACCCTTGGCAGGACTCACACTTGGGCAATGCCTGTTCATTTTTCTGTAGCGATTCGCCATTCGTCACCGTCTCATTCCTCAAGGCAGCAGCAGCTGCAGCGACGAGGCCTGCAACCACCACCACTGTCACAGCAGTGGAAGTCGCCCGAGTGCTGATGTCAGGTCGGCAAACATCAGCCTGCAAAGCTGATAGTTTGTTATGACCTAGGTCTTTCTCTCCTCCTCCTCCTCCTACCCTTTCTCCTCCTCCTCCTTCTCTTCCTCCTCTCTGCCCTCCTTGTGCTCCGATTCTTGATGCTGCAGATGCACGAACGCCATGTTTGCCCAGGCGACTGCGCATCGCAGAGCTATAATTAGACTTGTGATGAGAATGCGCTGGAGAGGAAGACGGGTTCCTCCGTGGGCTGCAGCTGCTACTGACAGGATGCTCTTCATATCTCTTTTCATTTCTCTCACAAAAATACAGTCCAATAAACTCAGAAGGACACCTGCGAAACAGAAGCGCGCACGATTCCGGCGCCGTAGACAAACAGCGTTTCTCCCATAACCGCCTCTGCAGACCAGGAAGTGTCCTTCTGCATCTCACCGTCAGCCCAGGACTTGAACCCAGCCCATGTGGCGGCCCCCTCCTTTCCGGTTGATGAACTCTGCTCGACGAATGACAGGACTGTCCCAGTGGCAGGCTCGATGGAAGCACGGCTACTCTGGTCGTCGCCATAGCTGTGATGCTGAGAGCGGAGGGACAACAACAAAAAAATAGTGAGAGAAGATCAGGGCTTCTGCAGAAAAGAGGGGGGGGGGGGGATTTCACCAACAAAATATATACAAAAAAAAGGGGAGGGACAATTACAGAGAGGCAAGGATCAGGGCTGGCGCTGACAGGACAGGCGGACAAGGAGGGCAGATAAATAAAATAATATCAGGAAACTAAACGAGTGGATGACAATGGCCTTTTCGCTCGCAACTCTTCCTCCTCTCGACAATTTTTTTTTTTTTTTTTTTTTTTTTTTTTTTTTTTTTTTCTTCTTTTTCTTTTTTTTTTTTTTGGCCTGGAAAGTTCCAACACTTCAGAAAACCATGGTTATCCATCGAGTAGGCTGGCTGACAAAAAGAGGGACAAAGGAAATAGCTCAGCTGCTGCCCAATTTCACTGAAAGGGAAATGAAGTTTAATGAACCACGAAGCCACAATGGGACCTGGCTAGCGACCATCTGTTGCTCCATTGGTACGTGCAAAAAACATTGGGGAAAAAAAAGAAAAAAGAAAAAAAAAAATGGGACAAAAGTTTGAAAAAGTGATGGATCACTTCTTGAACCTCGGCAAACACAGCGAAGAGACTCAACCTCACTCCACTGTACAACTTTCGAAATGTATCTGCAGAAGGTACTCATCCGGATACATTCCAGCATGAATGTATCTGGTCACATACTTAGTCCACGTACACGGAGAATGTTCTGTAGTGGCACTGACTGATCAAAATTTGCCACTTTGCACACATCCGTTGGAGAGCTCTAAATGAACTCAGACTTGTCTCAATCTTGCTTACAAGTTACAACATGCATACGCGTGTGTGCCGATGGCAAACCAACTTCTTTTTCAACTCACAATTGTTGTCAAGGCCTCGGTTTCTCAAACTTTTATAGTACATTTCCATATAGGACGCTGGGCCCGGTTCCCAGCACGTGCTGCTCCCCACGAATAGATTGGAGCCTTGTTTTCAAAAAAAAAAAACAATGAACTTGCACTGGCGACATGCGGCCACAACGAAAACTCAGAGATATGGCCTCTGGCCAGAATCTCAGCTCAAGTCAATTGGTTCCAACTTGCGGCTATGGCCGCCGAACACTGTCTGAAGTCCCAACCAAACACTGTCTCCACCATCAGCCTCACTCTCACTCACACATACACGCCCGAAGATCCACCCTGAATGTCCACGCATTACACACACACACACACACACACACACTGTACACTCTGTTGACGTCAGCAGCTTGGCGGCTATGGGCGCCGTCGTCTTCCTCCTCTTAGCTATGGTCGTCGTCGTCTTCCTCAGCCCACTTCAGCTTCGGGCACCTGCAGACTTCCACTGCACAAGTCCCTCCAGCAGCGCTTCTGCATGGCTCCCAGGCGAATGAATGAATGCCTGGGCGCTGCTACTTTCTTTATACTGCCGTGGTGGACTGGCCAGCCCTGACCCTGGGCCCAAACCACATGGACCGGTGATGCCCCAAACCGCGTGGGACTGTAGGCCCCAAACCGCTTGGTCCTGTGGCTCCAAACCCTGTGGGACCCCCGCCTGATTCTTGCTGACTGGACGGGGTGGACTGTCCTTCTACCGGCTGACTAGACGTGGTAGACTGACCTACGACTTTCAAGAACCTACTGACTGACCCTTTACTAACAACTACCCTCTTCACCCGAATATAACGCCCGGTCATTATAGCTGTATTTGGGGCACTTTTCAGTCCAGATGCAGCGATAATGGCCGGGCGCTCTATTCGGGTGAAGACAGTAGGGCTAACTACAGACTGACCCTTACGCCATCGGAAAGTAAGGTAGAGGTTTCCAGAAGGACCCCAACTAACAACAGTAACCCCCCCCCCCAAAAAAAAAAAAAAAAAGCCTAAGGGTAACACACTAAATTACTACTAACACAAAGGTCTATTGATCAACACCTAATGACAGACTGACATCCATACTAATTAACCTACAGGGTTTAGGCCCTTAGGGACAGAGCGTGGGGTGGGTTCAAATCTCACATAGGATTACAGAGTCAATGTACAGGGTTACAGGGTAGGTCTAGGGATCGAGCCCTGATGTCTGCATCTGTCCGGTAAACTGGATGAAACCGTTTCATAAACAACAACAACAACAAAAAAAAAAAAAAAAAAAAAAAAACATGAGAACATATGTCGCCCCTGAACCTGTATAGCCGAACACACCAAGGGGGACATCCGTCGCCCTTGAAACTTGAAAGTGTAGGCCGAGCACCCAAGGGGGGACGGGCTAGGAAAGCCCTGTGGCTGAATGGCACACAATACTGAACAATTGTTTCACTGTTGAGAAATAGATCTGTCATATGATCAGTTAAGGGTTCCAATGGATCCAGTCATGATTACAGGCATCTATCATTTAACACTTGGAATGAATCCAGCCATGATTACAGTCATCTATCAGGCTAATACAACAATGTTAGAGACTGTCATTATCACTGTTGATAAGTGGCTCAGGATCTTGGCAAGGGGGGGCAGGGGGGGCTTGAGAGAAGCTCGAGGAGAGAGGCTCAGGAGCTCGAGAGAGGGGGTTGAGAGGAGCTCGAAGGACGTCAGAGAGGCTTGGGAGACGCTCAGGAGAGGGGCGGGAGAGGCGGCGGAGAGAGACAGCTCGGAAAAGGTCCAGGGAAAACTCAGGAGAGGTCTCTGAGTGAGAAGCTCAGGAGAGGCTTAGAAGAGGGCTCGCGCTCGAGGCTTAACAGAGGCCTCGGGAGAGGGGGGGGGGGGGGGGGGGGGGGGGGGGGGGGGTTGGGGGGGGGGAGGGTCAAAAAGGGCGGCAGCCTTAAGATATCATCGTGAAACTGACCAGCCCAAGGTAATTCAGGAATTTCGTTCATCTGACTGATTCCACCTGGATTCGAACTCAACTCAGGTCTGCATTTCAACAGTCAGTTTATGGCTGATGTACCAACTGAGCTAATAAGCCTGTCAGTGCTCGGGAGAGGTTTAGAAGAGGCTCAGCAGAGGTTTGGAGGAGGTTATGGAGAGGCTCAGTGGAGGCTTGGGAGAGAGAGGCCTGGGAGAAGAGTGCATGTCCTTCTCAGAATGCCTCTACCGTCCACTATCTGATCCACACTGCCATCCGATTCTTATTTTCTGCAATAGGTATATACTATATACTATATATATTATATAATATATATATCGATCGGGTACCTTCCTTTTTTGAAGTCTTTTGAAGCACAGGGACCGGGGGGGGGGGGGGGGGGGGGGCGGGGGGGGGGGTACCAATGGGGCCTAGCTCAGTTGGTACACCCCCCATTAACTGCGCTGTCGAAACTTGAAATACAGACCAGAGTTCGAATCCTGATGCAATCAGATGAAGTTGATCTACAGAATTCATCACTGTACAGTGTAAGTAGTGAGAATGGACTAGATGCATTGCACTAGTGAGAGCTTGTACTAACATCTTCATGGAAATACTGTTGGAGCCTTGGAGAAGAAGTACACTTACAGAAGTTACAGCTGAATTTTATTTTCTTTTTTATTTAATAATAAATAATTTTATTGTAGTTTTTTAACTTTTTTTAAGAAAGGGCAACGGACTCGTGATAGCATCATCAACCTGACCTGGCCCAGGTAGTTCACTCACTAAGTGGAGGATAATTTTATGTCATTCGTCTAGCTCCGAAAGAATTCGAACTCAGGTCTGTATTTCAACAGTTCATGGATGTACCAAGTACTAGAAACTGAGCTAGGTGCGTTTGGAACTTTGGATTCATCACACAGACATGGAATTGCAGCTGGATTCATTGCACAGACATGGAGATCACTGATAAATCACTAACACAGGTTTAAACGCGCAAAAAAAAATTGTGGGAAAAAAGCTGCACAAGTGTGACCGAAGGAGCAGTTAATCCCCCGATAACTGCACTAGCCGCACTTTGCTATAGCCATACATTGTGTTGTGGTTTTGCTGCTACAGGCATCGGGCAATACATTGTGGATTAGTTAGTTGCTATAGGGCCATACATAATACATAGCCATACCGGTGTATGCAGTAAGAGCATGTCACATACATAATACATAGCCATACCGGTGTATGCAGTAAGAGCATGTCACATAGCCATACCGGTGTATGCAGTAAGAGCATGTCACTTGGGGCGCGTCCCGCCCGGGCCATTAATCACCTGTTTTTTTTAGGCCACGAACAAAAGGCCAAGTTGGAGGCTTTGGAGCCACAGAGGGTAGATTCGTAGAATGAGGCTGGGTGAACTGATGTTTTAACTGCGACAGCTGGGCATGTTCAGCAGGGAAAAAGCAAACTAGAGGGTTATAAAAACCAAGTAAATCGCATACTTAGTGGGGGGGGGGGGGAAGGGAGACGGGGGAACCTGCATACTGTGCAGTAAGTGCATACTGTTGCTGCAGTCACCGTTTGCACTGTTCTTCCATTTACTGTTGTTCATCTTTTTACCATTGCTCTCAAGTTTACTGTTGCTCAAGTTTTTACCGTTTTCTCCAAGTTAACTTTGTTACTCAAGTTTACCGTTTGCTCAAGTTAACTTTGTTACTCAAGTTTACCGTTTGCTCAAGTTTACCTTACTCTCAAGTTAATACACAGTGCTCCCCATTTACTGTTGTTCATCTTTTTACCATTGCTCTCAAGTTTACTGTTGCTCAAGTTACCTTTGTTACTCAAGTTTACCCTTTGCTCAAAAGTTGCCGTTTGTTCACGTTACTTTTTTGTTACTCAAGTTACTTTTTTGTTACTCAAGTTACTTTCTTGTTACTCAAGTTCACTCCAGTAAACCCTGGATTGGCCGGCCGGTGCTGTGTGTGTTGCTACTCTGCAGAAGAGTAAGAGAAAAAAACAGAAGCTGCCAAGCCTGTGGTGAACGACAGACGTTTTTCTTAACCCACTCTGGCACCGAGTTAACCAGCTCTGCCTGCATACGTTTGCCTGCCTGCCCGCCTGCCTGCCTGCATGCATGCATGCATGCACTGATCGAAAC